CAATATAAATTATGTACAATAAAGATTTTACAGTACAGTACTTAATTTTCACTAACGAACGAAATCGTTCTCTCAGTATTTGCATTATGTTATTAGTCTAAAGTAAAGTAACAGGTTGCCTATATCTCTCCTAGGGCTGAAAGCGAACGATATGAATGGATTAGATATGGGACTAGGCTAGAATCCCGCAGAGACGTATAATTACTTGACGGAAATGGATATCGAGTGTGGATCAAATTGGAAACTGGTTACTCTACGATGTTATACGTGATGCTAAGTTTGGGCACTTGTTGAAATATCGTATAAGTATTTTTATCGATTATATTACAATTTAAAATTTTCTTGAAACCAAAACAAAAACAAAATGCATGATTAAAATCATTTGTTAAGATTAAATATTTTATTTCGAAAAATAATTAATTACATTAATTATGACAAAATTAATATTGACTAATAAACTTATTTTCTCTATGTCTATATAAAATTTACTTTATAATAAACAGTTTGCGCAACTTTATTTGTCCCAAAATTAAAATCTGTTTTAGCAAATTTTATTGCTATATTTTATGAAATTTTTAGGTTTCTTTTTGTCAAAATTCTAGTTGATGTATGCTAATTGCAACTGTTGATCTTTCTGTATAACTAAATTTAGTAGTCTAGTTCCGCAGTGAATAAAAATATAAATAAGGCTTACTTTTTCGCTAAGAATTGCTCATATACTGTTATCTAAAACGCGTTATGATATTATATATTGTAGTCACAATTCTCTTTCGATACAAAACATGAAAATAATATCCAACAAAAAAAACTATTTTCAAATTAAGTCAAATATAGTACGAATTAAATTATCTGTGGTTGAACTAACAATCAGCCATTATCATGTATATTTAATTTTTTAATCTTTTTAATTATATATATATATATATATATATATATATATATATATATATATATATATAAGTAGGATTTATAAGTAATAATATCTAATCATGGTCAATTCCTAGTAAATTCCATTACGCGCGATGAACTATCTATCCTAGCTTCATCCTTATGTAAGTGCTCATTATTTCATCTGCCACTAGTGCCCTCTATTGTAAGTTATAATTAGCATATGTTAGCTGGGTGTCCTATTCCATTTTTATTTAAAAAAAAGTAAGTATTTATTGTAATTCGAGTAGCTGTGTTAATTGTTAATACATGGTGGAGTTTTGAGTTTGTAAACATAGAAAATTCATTGTGTTATATATTTCACAAATTTATTTTTTTATTATTCTTAAGCAGTTTCGATTTTTAAAATATTATCACATTAAAATTTCCCGTTAAAATAATGTTACGTAGATCTTTAAGAATGGCAAGGTTAAAACGATTAAAAATAATTAAAATACGATTATGAAATAATTTACGTCTATTTATAATGAATGTTCTTTCTTTTATTTATTTAATTAATTTAACGCTAATTAAAATTGGAAATCTGGGTGACCGAGCTATAATTTTGTAGAGTCATGAAACTAATTTATTTCATTACTGACTATTCATATTCAAGGGTAAATTATAATGTATTTTGTATTATATAAGGCTCACTACCTCAGTAGGTAGAATCCCTATAGAATATGACGAGGTATGCGAACGAATGAATTATTTTTATATAAATATGGTAGCTAGCTAAACTGTGAAAACTGATGGTATGGTTACTTCAAAATAACAGGTAAATGTTATTGATTTTGATAAAAAAAGATTAGAAATATAGCCAGCTAGATATGGACTCGCAAAATAAAGGACAAGACAGAATGGAAATCTTTAAAGAAGACCTATGTCGAAAGACAAGCTGTATTGAATTAATGATCGTTAATCGATATTTAATTAAACATAAATTGTTAAAATAAGTTTTTTCACAGTTCATTCACGATTGTGGAAAACTAAGTACAGTAATAAATGGTTTTTATTTTATTTATTTATTTATATTCTAAATTTAACATCTATAATTTGTAAAACATTACAGTATGATAAATTATGTAAATCTCTTCCACGACGAAGATATTGTTGACTGGTCAGCTGATTTAGTAAGAGTATAATTTTGTGTCTTATTTTCCTTCTTCTGTACAATTATATTGTGCTTTATTCCCTTGTACAATATAAGTATTATGACAATGAAAAGGATTTATGACATATTAGTTAATTTTGGATTATTTTTCACGGAAGAAAGGGCTATTTATTTAAAAAGGCACATTATGTACTTTCAGATACGGGTTTGCTCTGCTCGCTTCCTGAGATGGGCCCTAGACAATTCTAGACTGGACACGACTCGTCCAGTCTTCCCTTATACCTATGGACATACTGTATTCTTACTTTGTCATGACATAGAAAAACACAAACATTAATAAAATTTCTCGATTAAATTACTAGGCCAAATTTGTTGAAATTCACCAAAAAGATAAATACCAATTGCGCTTACCAATGAATACATTTTATTTACATATAAAATGTACATTTCAGTCAGTACAGTCAGATAACTAAATAACGCATTCCACCCTGTTGATTGTTAAAACGTAACACCAAAGCCAATTACAGTGTTGTTTATCTCAATTTTAGTATTACTCAATAAAACTTTATTACCTAGGGTAATTAATTACTTAAAGATTACTATGTATGCCCAAATAAATTGTTATATATTGAACATATCCTAAAGTTTCTCTATATTATCTAATACGTTTCATATAAGTTTCCCTTATTGGTGATAAATTATATCATATGCGCAAATATATAATTATGTGTACCTACATATATTATGATAGACTTAATGCCTTAAGGCGATCTCTACCAATCATATATATATATATCCAAAATATAGTTTTTTGGATATATATATATATATCCAAAAAACACACTCAGCGTTATCACCAAAGTCAATTATTTGATTATTTGACTGCTATATACGCCCAACTAAAATTGTTATAATCGTGTTATTAATTTATTTAAATTCCTTATTGAATCACATCACCTACCTATGGGAACATAGAAACTTCATATATCTTCTTTGATTCATGTTAATGGCTTTCCTTTCAGCCTATTACATTAATTTCAAGATTATGTTTGATTGGTAGAGATCGCCTTAAGGCATTAAGTCTATCATAATATATGTAGGTACACATAATTATATATTTGCGCATATGATATAATTTATCACCAATAAGGGAAACTTATATGAAACGTATTAGATAATATAGAGAAACTTTAGGATATGTTCAATATATAACAATTTATTTGGGCATACATAGTAATCTTTAAGTAATTAATTACCCTAGGTAATAAAGTTTTATTGCGTAATACTAAAATTGAGATAAACAACACTGTAATTGGCTTTGGTGTTACGTTTTAACAATCAACAGGGTGGAATGCGTTATTTAGTTATCTGACTGTACTGACTGAAATGTACATTTTATATGTAAATAAAATGTATTCATTGGTAAGCGCAATTGGTATTTATCTTTCTGGTGAATTTCAACAAATTTGGCCTAGTAATTTAATCGAGAAATTTTATTAATGTTTGTGTTTTTCTATGTCATGACAAAGTAAGAATACAGTATGTCCATAGGTATTAGGGAAAACTGGACGAGTCGTGTCCAGTCTAGAATTGTCTAGGGCCCATCTCAGGAAGCGAGCAGAGCAAACCCGTATCTGAAAGTACATAATGTGCCTTTTTAAATAAATAGCCCTTTCTTCCGTGAAAAATAATCCAAAATTAACTAATATGTCATAAATCCTTTTCATTGTCATAATACTTATATTGTACAAGGGAATAAAGCACAATATAATTGTACAGAAGAAGGAAAATAAGACACAAAATTATACTCTTACTAAATCAGCTGACCAGTCAACAATATCTTCGTCGTGGAAGAGATTTACATAATTTATCATACTGTAATGTTTTACAAATTATAGATGTTAAATTTAGAATATAAATAAATAAATAAAATAAAAACCATTTATTACTGTACTTAGTTTTCCACAATCGTGAATGAACTGTGAAAAAACTTATTTTAACAATTTATGTTTAATTAAATATCGATTAACGATCATTAATTCAATACAGCTTGTCTTTCGACATAGGTCTTCTTTAAAGATTTCCATTCTGTCTTGTCCTTTATTTTGCGAGTCCATATCTAGCTGGCTATATTTCTAATCTTTTTTTATCAAAATCAATAACATTTACCTGTTATTTTGAAGTAACCATACCATCAGTTTTCACAGTTTAGCTAGCTACCATATTTATATAAAAATAATTCATTCGTTCGCATACCTCGTCATATTCTATAGGGATTCTACCTACTGAGGTAGTGAGCCTTATATAATACAAAATACATTATAATTTACCCTTGAATATGAATAGTCAGTAATGAAATAAATTAGTTTCATGACTCTACAAAATTATAGCTCGGTCACCCAGATTTCCAATTTTAATTAGCGTTAAATTAATTAAATAAATAAAAGAAAGAACATTCATTATAAATAGACGTAAATTATTTCATAATCGTATTTTAATTATTTTTAATCGTTTTAACCTTGCCATTCTTAAAGATCTACCTAACATTATTTTAACGGGAAATTTTAATGTGATAATATTTTAAAAATCGAAACTGCTTAAGAATAATAAAAAAATAAATTTGTGAAATATATAACACAATGAATTTTCTATGTTTACAAACTCAAAACTCCACCATGTATTAACAATTAACACAGCTACTCGAATTACAATAAATACTTACTTTTTTTTTAAATAAAAATGGAATAGGACACCCAGCTAACATATGCTAATTATAACTTACAATAGAGGGCACTAGTGGCAGATGAAATAATGAGCACTTACATAAGGATGAAGCTAGGATAGATAGTTCATCGCGCGTAATGGAATTTACTAGGAATTGACCATGATTAGATATTATTACTTATAAATCCTACTTACCTCGTAAATATCTGCTTTAACTATGTTTTCTTGATTACAGGTACATTTTCCTGGCGATCTACACGGCGGAGATGATAGTGAAGTGTATAGCTAAGGGGTTTATACTAAATAAGTACACATACCTACGGAACCCATGGAACTGGCTCGACTTCGTGGTCATCACGTCGGGGTATGCCACTATCGGCATGGAGGTCGGCAACCTGGCTGGTCTCAGGACATTTCGTGTGTTGAGAGCACTGAAAACTGTCTCCATAATGCCGGGTAAGATACCTTATAAATATATTTTAATTATTAAACCACGTGACTTGCGCAGTAACAATGCAATAATTAGCATATTTATTTATAAAGCATTTGAGTATAAATTTACATAAATATTTTTCACATAACACCCGTTAATTAAAGCAAACCATGTTACCCGTCTAGAAGTATTCATAAATTTTCACATTACACCGACAGATTTCCATGATTTCAAACATCACATCATCTACTTTTGTCATTATATCGTCATTCAAAGACCCACCTCTCTACGGTTGAACGTTAAAATCATTCCCACGCTATCTGAATGGTATGCCGCATCAAAAACTCGGCTGCGAAACGGCATCGTTAAACTGAATTCCCGTGTAATGTTCCGAATTTCCTAAGCACTTACTGACACCGTGCAGGGCTTCCATCCCGTCTCGTTTCATATCCATACATTGGCATAATAGCCTATATACATACAACATTCATTTCTCATAAAAGTTTGTTTGTTTAAAAATTCAACATAAAGAGAAATTTGGTACATAAAATAAACACACAGTAAGTTTTTTTGAAGCATGATAATGACTGGTAACATCACCTGCGCTATCGAAATAGACCGACGGGTCACCAGTGAGGAATGACAGATAAGGATGCAAGCAGGTCTGTCAGCTGAACAATGCATAAATAATCAACCACGGTAGTTTCCAGGATGGAAGTAGACCTGTAAACGTTGCTAGTAACAAAGTCACTTGTTCTCTTTGGAAACAATGCCTTCTACTCTCTCCCCCTTCAATACACAGAAGGTACAAAAGTACCAGATTTATCACAAATAGACATCTCTGATAATCTTGGGAATATTTGAATGAAGTTTAATCCAGGGAGTATGTAATTTATGTACAAGTTGTATGTATACATTAGGTGTATACATACAACTTGTACATAAATGTAATTAGAATAAAAATAAATATTTGCATAGGTTTAGCCAACACGTATTACCCTCACTGGACATCCAAAAATGAGTGCTCAGCGTAATTCGGCTAAAGTATACGAGGCAATTACGAGTATCCGGGTTTTTATTAATAACGTTATGCGTTTATATTTATGAATGTTAACGTTTTACGTTCTTGTTTACAGATGTTTAATGACATATAAAAGCGATTGTAACATCAATTCATTCATAACATCGTTAAACATTAACACATTCATTCATATCTGTATTATCAGTCTTCGCACAGGTTGATAGAAAATTAGATATAATAATTATACTCACTTAGAGTTTTCCGTCATCACGCGTACGGCCTAACAGTGGAACTCTCTCCCTGCTTATATTTTTCCATCCAAATATAATCTGCACTAATTTAAGACTAGGCTATTCGAGTGCCCGCCAGCCCTATCTTAGAATACATCGTCGCTTTCCATCAGGTGCGATGGTGATAAATCATGGGACCCTTCAATAGTAATAAAAATATAAAATGGTATTTAATAGCTAAATTTTTGATATTTTGAATTACATTATTATTATTTTCGTAGAAATCTCAACTTTTTAAAAGTTTCTATAGGTAAAATAATTTTAAAATCAATTGACCAGTTTTTGATTTTATTCATTACAAACAAACAAACAAAAATCATGTGTACAAGGTAGATAAAATATTTTTTTATGATTGATACTGGTTTTCAATGGTAAAGGATGACGCGGAAAAATAAAGTGACGAGTAATTAATCACAATTTCCTATGAAACTATGTATGGATCTCGTCCTATGAGGATATATTTCTAACAATGGAGCTACTAATCCCTATTACCAACAATTCCCTCCCCTACATTGCTTAACTTAAACATTTAAATATGACCTTACTCTTTGTAATTATAGTTTCTTGCCTCTTTAACACCATTAATAGTCCATTAACGTCTTGATTACAGACACATTTCCTTTAAACACTGTAGCAATTACCATTTTCAATAAAGATTATGTATATTGTGACTTGAACGCATTGGCAAAAGGAAAGTTTTAACTAAACTAAACCACAGATAGTGTATATAATACGATAAAGAAAGGAATTTAAGACATTGTTCAAAATGTTTTGCAAACTAATAAATATGGGTACATATTTATTAGCATAGGGTACAAAAATCAGAGACATTTTAAAAATCTTTACTATGCACAAATACTGTCAACTAAAAAGAAAAACAAATTGAGAAATATAAGATATAAAAAATAAAAACAAAAAAATATCTAAATAGTTTCGAACAAGATTCAAGTATTGACATTTTAAACAACTAGCGACCCGCTTCAATTTCACATGGGTATATTATTAGCAATAGGGGCGCTAGTCCCCGTTACTAACAGCCCATTTCGTAATTTAAAAAAAAATACGCGGAGAGACAGATGCAGATAGCGAATTTGTTTCGTATCGTTAGAGATAACAATTCTTGCGCATAAATGAATTAATGTTTCTTTGAATTATTTTATCAATATTTCCGTTGTCCGATATCTCATAACAGAGGGTATTGTAGACCAGGTAATTGATATATTCGTGAAGCGTTTATTATTATTCGCAGTAGATTTCTAAACATAAAAACAAATAAGTATATGAACGTATATGTAGACAACCTCAATGCCTATAGAAAAATAAAAGCTATAATTATACGATATCGATACACCGATAGATACGTACTGTAATTATACTTTAACAGTAGTAATAGTAGACCATAAACCTGTCACTCCTTTTCTAACACGAGAACAAAATTATGTTTTCCATAAGCTAAATGTTAACTATAGAAAAAACACTGATTTTATGCAGCTTCAAATCCGCATATAACATACACTTATACATATATATATATATATACTTGTATGTAAATTACTTCAGATAGAAGGAACGTGACAAATAAAAATTATTCTTTTGCATTTTATTTCTTCTTTATTTTTGTCACAAGGGTTAGTCAAATTTAATTTTTAAATTTATATGTTACTAACTATATCCTGTCGCTTCGCTCGCGTTAACTAGTTTATAAAGCATCATATGTGTTAAGTTAGTATTATATGTAAGGCGTGAAAGAAGGTGAGCCGCATGATAGTTTGCCCCCTATGTTATAAAAAAAGAACCATAATCTCCAACATACACCCATAAATCCTTATATTACAAACATTCGCGTTCGTAACAATTGTAGTACGATATGCAAATATATACAACATTAACGTGAAAGTTAAATTCAATACAAATTATATAATTAATAAATTAATTTAGCTTCATAAATAATTTATTAAATCTTTACTGTCAACTGTAATCCTAGAGATAATCAGAGGCATTGATCGATGTACGGAAACCTTCTTTCTTCATTTCTCTACTTGCATTAATCCAACGGGGCAGAGGTCAGCCGGTACTGGTATTTTATGTAAACTTTTGATAATAACAAGATTTGAACCTACATCCACTGAAAGTTTTTATGAGTTAAAGAAGTAAACTACTATCCTATAACGCATTTTTTGTAAATTTTCCTAAATTAAAATATAATGTTAAATTTTATCCGACTGTTAAAAAAATGGCTAATATTTTGCCTATATAATATTTGTGTAGAATAAATGGGTTGTGGCTTTTAATAAATAGGGCCTCGTTATATTCATCTTCATTGTAGGAGTAATATATACTGCATTTAAACAATGTACAATAAACAATGGGCGATTTTAAACTGTCAATTCCTTATCACATTTCAAAAATGAATGAATGAATAGAAACTGTTATTCGTTGTCACATGCACTTGTTATATTAGAAATTATTTTCCACAAACATTAATATTACTAGAATCACACTTCAAGTATTTCACAATAAATCATCGTATTTGAAATAATTCAGAATTAGAAATTTTTCTATGATAATTGTAAAAAAAAATTATATCAATAACCTGCTATCCGCCCTCCAGACCCCTAAAATCATTGAGATGGTGACATGTGCTGCGTTATTCTTTCTCATGTGAGGGTCGACTGAAGCTATTCTATTGATAGATTCGTTTGTATTTTGTCTAGGAGAGCAACCAGCTCTAAACACAAACCTTGGCAATGTATCTATTTTTTTTACGATCCTTTTACGATAAGAGACCCCCCACTTGGGCATTAATCGACTGTTAAAATAAGGTAATATTACAATATTACTGTCTTTTTCAGGTTTGAAGACCATCATAAACGCATTGCTGCATTCATTCAAACAATTGGCAGAGGTCATGACGCTGACTATTTTTTGTTTGATGGTGTTTGCACTGTTCGCGCTGCAGGTGTACATGGGGGAACTAAGAAATAAGTGTGTGAAGAATTTTGTAGGGCAACCGGGGGAAAATTTTACTGATGAAATTTGGCTGCAGTGAGTATAACTCTATTTAGATTTTTCTGTTAACTGTCCACTGCTGAACATAGGCCTTCCCCATAAGAGGAGTCTTGCTAGTTGTTGTTACACTTGGCAGGCAGGATGACAACTGCAGTTAAGCTTTAAGAGACTAAGGGAACTTAATGGTAAAGGGACTTTCCCTTAATTGCTCTTACGACACTCACAGGCTTATTCTATACCGAGCCACACGGTCATAGATTTATCATAGAGATACCATATAATAAATACCTGTCACAATTTCTTTATTTTTTATTTCTTTTCCTAAAAAATATTATATTCATAGCCTAAAATTAATATAGAAATTGATATGGAACGTTTCATATCTATATATTTGTACATATCCATGAAAATTTATTAAAACATATTACGTTTCTTGATCTAAAATTTAATAATTCAAAAATATCTTTATTTAAGCTACAAATACAAAGAAAATTAAGAACATAAAGTAATGGCTCCCAACTTTATATAAATTACGACGCCCTCTTATTCTTGCCAGTTCTCAGTGAAAGTTGTCGTCAAATTGTTTAATTAGGTTGTCATTTCATTTCAAACCGGAGGAAAGAAAATATATTGCGTACTCAACAGACTGAATACTAAGTCCTATAATTGGTTCTGATTATGTCTCGTCTTGATTATTATTGATTGTTTATTTAGATATTATTTTAAATAATTTTTCTTTATATATTTATTCATTGCTACATTTCTTTCCTTCTTTCTTTTCTCTTGTACCTTTCCTGTTTTATAATGAGTTCAATATATAGTAAATACAAATAAATTTAGTTATCAAATCTATTTTATAAGCTATAATATTAAGCCTAGTAATAATAATAATCAAGATAATAATAGTAGTCATATAAAATAATAGTCATATGAAATACTTAACTCAAGGACATTGAGGTCTGAGCCATGATATCTAATTTTAAATAATAATTTTGACTTAAATCTATTATAAAATTAGTTCATATTATTCCTTAGAATAAAGTTTTTGCTAGGACATTACATTTAAATTTTTTATTTAAGATATACGTTTAGAATAATGACACCCTAGAATCGGCCCCAAATTGTTTACAATAATAAATATACTATTAGGTAGATATATGTAAATATATAACTGTCTAGGTCCCGACATAGAATAGGCTACCCCTTCCTTTACCATGGTTGTCATAAGAGGCGACTAAGGAAGCGTATGATGGAGGGATGGGCAGCAGCGTCCCTCTTAAAACATCACCAAAAGCCAAACTGCTGTTGTCCACCCATCTGCCAAGCGTGACAACTACTGGCAAAACCCCTCTTATGAGGAAAGCTATGTTCAGCAGTAGACAGTTAACGACTTATACAGCAACAACATGCAAATACATCTTTATTCATTACAAACAAACATACAGAAAATCAAATCTTTCCTCTTTATAGTTTAAATAAAATTAATGAATAATAAGCTCTTTATTATTCCCCTTAAAGAAAATACAAAATAAAAGTTAACAGTATTAATTTTTTTAAATTAATGAAACATAAATAAATCATCAAAATAAATTATTACCACCAGGTGGATTAGAGAACCGTCTCGCTGGATAGTGGATGAGGAGGAAGTGCCTATCATTTGTGGTAACCTGACCGGTGCGAGGCACTGCCCGTCGGGGTACACGTGCCTGTGCGTGGGGCCAAACCCTAACCACGGGTACACGAACTTCGACAACTTCCTATGGTCCATGCTCACCACATTCCAACTCATCACCTTGGACTACTGGGAAAATGTATATAATATGGTGAGTGTTCGTATTAAAATTTTTAAGCCACTCCAAAAAGGATAAGTTACTTATATATGACTGATTTTTTATGTATGTTATATGATATATTCACCCATTCTGAACCGAGTTTGATATTTTTTTTTAGAATTGTTGGATAAAATTTGCTCTCGCATATGTCCTATATTAATTTTATCGCGATTGAAGTTAATTTCTATTTTATGAAATAAAAACTCAATATAATATTTAGCTTATAAAATAAAAGATGTTCAAAAAAATTTTAAAAATAAAACACACTGTTGACTATTAAATGAGAATAATGTAAAAATGTGTCGGTGTGCTAAATTACAGAAGCCGCTATTACAATAATATGACTAACATATAAATTAACATACGGAACCTATAAATACGTACTTTTTTCTCTTCATCTATCGCCTTGTACATGTATGTCCATAGAATGGATAAAGTTTATTTCCACTGTCCCTGTAGTAAGGCTATTTGTTTACTATTTATAATATAGTGAGCTTAGAGTTTAATATATTATAATTTAACTATTAAGTGTGATCTACTTCACAAATATACAGACTTCATATAGAAGTCTATTCCAATATTAAATTTAAAACTCTCTTATATTACTAATATTATAAAATTGTAACTGGACGATGTCTGTACATGGAAAATATTAAAAAAAAAATAATAATATAAAGGGTCTTAATAAGATCAATAGAGGCAAAAGAAATAATTATTAAAAATTTTGTCTTTCTGTTTGTCTTGTCTATCTGTATGTTCATGCCGAAATCACGCAAAAACTACTGTACGAAATTGGATGCTGTTTTTACAGTTTTGTTGTTATTACTTGATACATCATTAGCAAGTGATCTATTTCAAAAGTTTTCCCACTTCTGAAATCCACGCATACGAAGTAGCAAGCAAAAAGTTAGTTGTGCGTAAAGTACATAAAGTAATAAATACTTTATGTATGAAATATTCCGGAATTCACATTGTGAATGGGACACTAAATAATACAATTTTTATTTGATATTTTTATCTATTAATATCGCTTTAATAACTGTATATCTGCAAGGGTAATCGTGACAATATTCTAATTATCTCAGACACTTATGGTATTGTGGGTCGCATATGTACGCGGAGAGTTCGATACGACCCTTGTCCCTCCACCCTGGGGTGTGATAATTTGGGCACGTATTCATAATACGAGTATAATGTCTACCCATTGTAGGCCTTCCAAAACAAATCCACTTGTAACTGTGTAATAAGTTACTATGATGACCTCCTTATTCGACTTCAACTTCCTGTTAGATATAGAACTTTATAGACACGCGATTATTTTTTAATTATTTCCCCATTTAAAAAAATATCACTTTTAGCCAAGAAGAAATAACTCTATTATTGCTGTTATCAAATAATGCTTAATTCAACTTTTTTCCAAATTCCAAATTCTATAATTTTCTAATTACAGTATTATTTCCTAATTAATAATTATTTTATTCTATTTTTTTTTAATTAGAAAATAAAACCTATTGAACCTCTTAAGTATTGTAATTGCAAAATTTTATTAATCGATATTTAATCACAGTCATACTCGTACATTAAACGCCACAATTATCACTACTAACTACATACAGACATAGAATTAAATACAAAAATAAAATACTTGCCTTAATATGGCTAGCGTTATTTATTCATAACAAACTCCCTCTCTATACTCTTTCCGAAAATACCGTCTATAATTTCATTTCAAATCTTAAAACGTATTCGACATACCTTTCATATGGGTATAATGGCGTGTTTTCATCTGACCATTTTCTAACCTAAACTTATGGAAACATTACTACTCTTATTTTAAAAGACCATAAGAAACTAATTTTATTATGGGAACCATATACCAAAACAATATCGGAGTTGAGGTATTCGAATTTATAATTCTATCACAGTATAAGTAATAATAATAATAATATTAATTCTATACATTATATTTACTAGCATGTATAAATTACAATAATATTGTCATTGACCGTTTTGAGAAAATTATGCTACTTATAATAATTTAGTTAAAATAAATTAGGCTCTATTGTACCTAATTTAGGGCCCAAATTTTAATACATTAAATAATAAAAAGTTGGGGCCCTAGCTATATAGTTAGTAGATGTAACCATATTTATATCATAGTGCCACTAAATTAAATTTTCATTTCTGTAATGTAATTCAATGCTTTGGGAGGGAAATCGACCCGATCGTTTGTTTAGGATTGGTCGAATTATCTTGTTGTTTCAGATGCCAATACAATCGAAAACGATTTATTACTATATTATCTCGAACCTCAGCATTTATCAAATAACTCTGCCCTAAGAAAATACTCGTTTTCAATTTCTATTAAATTAAATACAACTAAATATGGTTATCTGGTCCACATTTTTATTTTTCAAAATATATCAAAGATATGTTGTACAGCCGGCATATAAAGTAGCCTCCTCGTATATCCTTTCATTCTATATACTACATGTATGTCAAATTTCATACCGATCGGTTAAACCGTTAAAATACTACGAGGTAACAAACAAACAAATTCACAGGCTCAATTTCACATTTATAATATTAGTTAGGTTTAAGAAAGATCACTTAAAATAAATTGGTACTGCTTCTTCGCCCACGCAGCCCTTCCCGGAATCTGCATATTGATTTACAAAATAAAATGTTCGTAGTAAATAAATATGAATTGCTTTCTCGAAATTTATTCAATTTATTGTATCAAATTTATATCTAACGAGTTATTGATTACTACAGCGATCAAGTAAGTAATTCAATCCCAATTTCCCATAACAGTAAACGAGGAAAGGACCTTCAATCTGGGCTTGCTACAGCCATTGACTGACTTAATCTGGGTTAATTGTTGACTTTGAAATGGGTGAAATAATTAAACATATTACTTTATAGGTTATTAGTTTACAAGCGCGCACTAAATATTTAAATAGTTCAGTGGCACAAGTTTTGTTCGCGGCTATTTATAAAAAGTATGAATGGTACGAATATAATTGTTTATAAATACGATGTATTAAAGAAATGCTTAGTGGTTCACTTGTACTATTTGGTTCTTTTTTGTAATATTCTCTGTATAGAGGGGGACACCTCCTCTAATGTCAATTAATATCTAATTTGTTATGGGTATGTGAAAGCAATTTTTGTCGTGACATACCAGATACTTAGTAGATTTATCAATCTTTTCATTTTTGGAAAATGAAAAGATTCTAAATTCAACTATATTCTAATTAGTCGTATATCTTCGTCAATTTAGAACTGATTTGTTTTTTTTTTTTTTAATATTCGTACGTTTCTGATACAATCTTTGAAAGTAAATGTTTAGAAATTGTACTCATACGCCATCAACTCATATTCTTTGAAGGAAATTTATGAATTGATTGAATAGATTATCACTAGGTTTGTTACATCTTTTATGCACCGTGTAACAGATTTCATTAAAAATACTATTATTTTTCTTATATTATATAAACTATTTCTATTCTGTTCCCATCAGCATCCATAATATGGAGTTTAATCACTCTGTGTGTAGGATTTAGCAACATTCAGTTTGAGTGGAATGCGCTCGGAGTGGATGTAATGGTGGAATAGTACTTTGAAATTGTCGCCATTAGTGGAAACACTGACAATGCCGACATGGAATCGAGACGGATTTGGGACAAATGCTGTGTCTATTGTTACACAACTGCGGAAAACATTTGTGTGTTGAATTAAGGTTCATTACTTATTTTAAGGTCTCAATACAAAACACCTGGTCCCGAGGCAATTGTGAACAGTTCAATGATTCAAACGAAAATCAAACCCAATATCTTATTTAAACAAAGTAGTTGACACGCACCATCTTTGTTTTCTTTTTTATTAATGGCCTTAAAAAACGAAATAGAAATAAGCGAATTGCCAAATAACATTTTCATATAACCTTATTTGATGCCTTATATACCATAACCATATATATACCATAACCAAAGGGAGACTTTGTACATAAGTCATCTTTTTTGCGTATACGGCAGAAACACAAATGGGACAGACCTCTCGTTTCATTCGTGTTTTTATCGTGAAGCAGTTGTGTCTGTATAACTGTGTTTTAGTTTTAAGGTTGGGATATGGCCATAAATGTACAGAAGCATAAAACTTTAATCGTCAGGAATGGCAACACATGAAGGGTACCACGGGCGACACAGTATACTCTTCTATATCCATGGTACTGTTCATGTCTGTAGGCGACAAGTACCACTTTCCTTCAGGTAGACTGTCAGTTTGTTTGTCATTTTAAGTTGTATGAAAAAAATACGAATCTCAAGTTTCTAGACGTTCTGTATAAATTTAGTTATAAATAAGTACGTAATAAATATCTAATATGTAATGAATAACCGTTAACATTATATAACTTTAATTATTAATGAGTTATATAATGAACAAAAGTAGTTTCACCTACTAAACAACGTATAACCTTTAAATGGTCAATCCGATGTCGATGATTCTTTATATTTATAACACTGTCCTTGTTCAGGTGCTGTCATCATGCGGGCCAATGTCAGTATCATTCTTCACTGTGGTGGTGTTTTTTGGCTCGTTCTACCTCATCAACCTAATGCTGGCCGTCGTGGCGCTTAGTTATGAAGAGGAATCACAAATTACGCAAGAGGTATTAAAAACATAATAAGTGGCAAGCATTAAGCCATGTAGTCCCAGCATAGAATGGGCATCTCCTTTTTTCCCGTAGGTCGTAGGACGCGATTAAGAATATTTTATGGTCGAAGGATGGGCAATAGCGTCCCTCTCAAAACGGCACCAAAGCCTAACTGCAGTTGCCAACCCGCCTGCCAAACGTGACAACTACTGGAAAACCCCCACAAAGGGGAAGCCTATGTTCAACAGTGGACTGTTAACGTTTGATGATGATGATAATGATGATTTGGTTCATAAATCAGTGACAAATAATAAACTAGAATCTGATCGACCGGAATGTATAAATATATAATAATTTATAATGAAATGTAAAGCTAATATAAATAATATCGGTTGGCAAACTTTTCGATTACTTTTGAAACGTAAGATTCCTACATGTTAGATTACAAATTTATACATAAATATATTTATGCACATCCTTTAGTTCCTATTAATTTCTACTTACGATAAAGTCATAATGTGAAATCACAGGAACGGAAAAAGGACCTCAACGACCACCGCGATGATTCCACCTTCAGCTTCGACCCCACATCGCTGGCTGTACGCACGCTGGTCAAAGATTCAAAGAAGCGCATCGACGCTCGCAAGGGTCTGCTTCTCGCTTCGTACTCCAGGAAGAGAACTCGGAGACGTAAACGGGGAAGGAGCGCTATACACCATGCTGCCGCTGTGGCTGCTGTGGCGGAAAGGTAAGTTTTACCAAATCAAATCATAGACAAGTTTTTTTTTTATGATTATTAAAATGGCTAAAAAGCTGTCGTGCCACCTAATAGGTCCATACTGTTACTAGTTATTGTCATAGGTGTATTTAGCGAAGGGAGCGGGTGGAGGGGGCAAGTGGCCTTGCCTACTCTTAAATTGTCTGGTGCCCACGCCAGAATAAGAAACGGAGCTTTCTATTACAGCTATAGACAAAACCATGTCTGAGAATACATATGCACCTTTTTAAAAGGGCCAATCCGATGGAGAATTATCTTAAATACACCAATGTTGATATTAGTATGGAGTAGAATTTAGAATTCATAAAGTTTTACATCAAAAGGTTGCTTCTACACAAAGGTTTTGTAGACATTTTCGTTTAAAAATAATTATTATTTTATCTATGATAAAACCACATTTGTACTAAGCACTTCATCTAGATAAAAAAAATTAGGTAAAGCATACCTAATTTTTTTTTGTCTGGTGCACAGCACAAATTGTTTTAATTTAATATATAATTATATTGAGAATTCTAAAAATTAATTAGAATTATGAAAAATAAGTAAAAAGTAAAACCTCATTTATTTTTGCCTCGTGATCGTTCCAAGATGTTAGCAAATTTCTATCTTGTCTTTCCGAGCACCTATACTTCTTGTATAATTCTCTCATTCCGGTCATTAGTTAGTCACCCCTTTGTCATTACTGAGCATCATTGTCAGTGGGTGCTTTTAAATGGACAATTAATTTCCAATTGTTCCGGTCCTTAGTCGCTCTTTTCGCCTTGACGAAATTATTAGAGGCAGATTCTTTTTAAATCGACCAACTTACTGGCACCTAATCGTCCTTACTGACTGATACCTTTGTTGTAATGATTTTCATTATCTCCCAGGCATTGTTTACTAACGTTAAATTTTAAACTATTTCGTTTTTTTCTCTCACATTTAAGGAAATCTTTAAAAGACATGTCAATGCCGTCGTATACATATACTAGAAAATTACTTACTAAAACAGTCTTCTAGAACATAAATAGTACATTTGAAAGCTAGTTTTAGCAGTATCAAATATTGCTTGGTCTATGAAATAGGATAACTCCGACATGCATGATATTATTATTAACAATCTTAATTAAACAAAATGGCAAAATGTAGACTACAACATAGGATTCTTCAAAAAGCGCGTATTAAGGTTTCTTAAGGCAGGCGTCCATAGACTAACCTCGTACGGTAACCCCGTTTACCATCAGACGGGCCGTACGCTTGTTATTATGTTATTACTATGTTCGTCTAATGTCATTCAATTGTAATGAGCAGGACGAAATAACTCAATTGTTACTTAACAGCACATTTAATACCTAAATTTAGTTTTGAACATCATATTTTAATTAATATCGCCGAATAGGTAATAATATACATTAAATATTGAAACCTTGAGAAACACTAAATTAGATAATTATAGGATTTAGTTTTCCTCATGTTTAACTAAAAGCAAAACATAACTAATTCATCTAGGTATCTAAATTTAGGTGACTATAAAGTTATAGCTTTAAAACTAGGACAAACAGTAGGTAACCCAAATTCGTCCGGCCGAAACCATAATTTAGGTGGATAAAAACATTTTTATGGTAGGATACGTCACAAAGTGTATAATAAAGACGAGAGGGGTGCGGGGTCATTATTGTGTTTAAACGTTTTACGCTCATTGGCGCTGCCAAGCGAATTGTGAAAGATAAAACCTTCGGTCGACCGCCATTTGAGTAACGGTCATCAGTAGGGTTGCTTTAGTACGTAAAAATACATTTACGGCTACTCAAAAACAATTTAGATACAAAGCTGGACTAACATTGTACAATTATGATATTAACAGAAAAAAATAATATAGTATATACTATTCACTTATTCAGAATGCTGAATATATCATTTTTATGAAACTTAGAATGGCAAACTAGCTGACGGCCTACCTGATGGAAAGTGGTAACCGTCATCTATAGTATACTGTTTCGTCCATGATACCCCCAATGCGTTGCCATTCCTGAGAATTCAGATGTTATTCCTGTCAAACTTCAGATCTTCAGATGGAAGATTAGAGCTTCAATGTCATCTACTAATAACAAACTATTTCAATTTATGTATAAAATATTTATTTCGAATGAAGTTGGTATTAAATAAGTTATATTTCTATAAATTCAGATAATTTCGACAACCATGCAGACGAAGTCTTGGAAATAGTTTATTTCGTGTAATGTTTCATGATTTGAAAGATAAATTTATAGACAATTGAGCTTTGCGTCTTAGGTCTGAAAAGCATATAGCTTTTCACCAACTCAACAAAAATATAGGAAATGATATACTATGATATCTGGAGATATTTATTTATTATTTACAAACAGTGCATATAGGGATAACAAGCTAACTCACGGGTATATTAAGTATCCTGTATGTTAAGTTAGTAAATAATCTATCGATGTAGCAAACAATTCCGTTCAAATGTTTTTATGTGAACAGTGACAAACATATCCATAAATTCTCACAAACTTATTAGGATACACATACGCGGTCTAAATCAGTTTATTCATTAAGTTTATATAAACAATTCGTTTTCAGACAAAGTATTCTAAAGAACTATAAAAATAAAAAGTTGTGTGTGGTGAATATTAACGGATCCACCCACACCCTGCCTGGGGCAATGAAATTTTCTCCTCGGGGAATACAATACTGAGATAAAATGGAAGAACAAGAAATAAAATATCTATCTTACACCGTTTGGTGACATCTTGAATAATGTCTTCTGATTTTATTATCGCCACCATTGCCTGGAAACTCATTGAATTGCCTACTTTTTGTTTTATTCAATTTTTTTTTTATTTTTCTACTAGTGACACATGGGCATTTTTTATATTCGAATATTTCAGTATTCATTAAAAATAATAGAAATCAAAATATGAATACTCGAATAATCGAATCGAAATATAATAATCGAATACTCTTTAGAACCCAAGTATGGATAGTTTTTTTAATTGTACCTACTTTGAAACTTACTTTTGTTGCGACAGGAAAAAATTAAAATAATACAGTAATGAATATTCAGACATTTAATCATTTTACTTTAATTAATTATAAAAAAAAAATGTTTAAACGTGAAACAAATACTACTCCTTTAATAAATTACCACTAAATTAGAACTTGAATATTTAAATTTATATTTACCACTGTATAAATTTAGAAACCTTTAACATTTTAATACAATAATGTCCCAAAAATTAGCCTAACAATAAATTAGTAAATACGCTATTATACGTGTGTATAAGGAGTGTATATAACGTAAAAGTTTTTAATATTATCAAAAATGGTTCTTTTACCATCGCAGTAAATAGAATTAAAAACATTCTTAAATTGTATTCAATAAGTACAACAATCATCAGTCATCAATTATAGACACAGTAAATCAGATACATGTCAGACTGTATTGTAGTAATTATTCTCACATCAGTTCATCATTTTAAAGCTTCGTAAAAAGTTGTAAATGGATACATTGAAAAAATTTTTGAACCATCATTACTAAAATTATTTTCACTTATACTTCGATCCAGTTATATAAAGATTTTTTATGTTAGAAAAAATTTGAAGCTTATATTATTTCTAATGAAATGAAATGAAATGAAATGAAATTTATTTGCTAGAAACATTGTAGAAAAGGTGTTACATTTGTGAAGTTTATAAGATGTCCATTATGTTTCGCCACATCAAATGGCATGCAAATATTAATTATTGAATTTATCCATTTTCTATTTTATACAGGTACATCATATATTTAATTTTCAATTACATATACAATAAATCACTATTAGTACGAAGTGTCACTTTGGTCATGCATTACAAACAGTCAATAAAGCTACTACAAATAATAAAATAATAAAAATGTCAAATAAAATTAAAATTACAATTAAAGATTAGGAACAATCTAAAGATTAGGATGAATGGATTCTAAAAGAGACTGCGTTATAAGGTAGTTATAAAAACATATATATATATATATATATATATATATATATATATATATATATATATATATATATATATATATATATATATATATATATATATATATATATATATATATATATATCATAAAACGGTAAAATAGATGTTATAATAAGTATTCTTAAATAATACAGCGATCTGTATCTAAACATTTCCACTGATTTGATTATAAAGTCAAATCGGGGAGAAATACTTAGGTTCAGATATTGCCCGCAGCCGAAAGCTTCACCGGCATTTATCACTCAACGGTAACATATGGCCCATACCTACTGATATGGGGCCCACAGAAGTGTTATAATATCTATTATGTAAGAATTTAGTACTATCGCAATATTTTTGCCTATACCTTATGTTTATATATCAAATTTCGATTTATTATCAAAATCATGTCCGTTTATATAAAGACAAATCATTTATTTTTATGGTTAATCTCAAAATTCAGTGAAGCAATGTTGTTCACGAATGACTATTGCAAAAATATTTATAACTATTTGTTAAATATATCTTGTTGTTATGCAATCTTATAAAAAGACCATGCAAAAGACGTTTATTTTAAAATCTCAAACAGTTAATAAAAACAGAGACAAAGAGCATCTTATAAAATAACAAACACAAGAACAAGTCGCGGTCTAACGAGAGCTCGATATTAGATTAGGACTAAGTTAACTGTACTAGAACCTTAATGAAATACTCTTGTTCTTTAGTTAGCCAGCTAGCTATCTTTTTGAATAAGTAATATATATTCAGCGAGGATGAGATTGTAGAAATTAGATAAAGTTAACGAATCGGATATAACACGAAATGAAACAGCCACGGTATATATATTTAAAAAAGAAAGAAACTCAAATATAAACATTTGATAATTGACTATTCAATTTAATTTTTATAATTCTACAAACTATTCTGAATGCAAGTTAAGCGAAAAAGAACAGGCGAGAAATAAATAATTGTAA